CCCGCGCAGGCTGCTGCTCAGTGGGCCCCCGCAGGTGGGTGCTGCTCCCGCTGCCCTGGCACAGCCCCGCCCCGCCCCAGGTGCTCTTTGTGTGCAAGTGCGAGGGCAGGCTCAGGGCCCACAGCACCCACTTATCCACTTTTTGCCATTGCTGTGGTGGAATCTCCTATGGTGGCCTGGGTGGCAGGTGGAGGGGGCTGGGCGGGACTTGGCTGCTGCTCATGGCCGGGTGACTTCTGGTCCTTCTTTGCGTGATGTGGGGGCGGAGGGGAGGCTTCTCTGGGGCCCGTCTCCTTCCTTCAGGCTTTGATTCTACGCTCCTGCATCATCTTGTTTGGGCCCTGTACCAGCCAGGGCGGCCTGCGTGCCCTTTAACAATTAGAAACGAAACTCCCCCGTTTTGCACGGGAAGATTTTGGTGGACTGTTAATGAGATCTGTGGGTTCTGTCCCCTCATCTCTCAGCCTTTCCCCACTCATTACGTTTCTCTAACAACGGAAGACCATCTCACCCATTAAAATGGCAGAAACCACCTTGCAATGGCAGGAACAACCGGCGTGATGAGCGTGTGGGGGAAGAACTGTGGGTTGGGATGGTGCAGAGGCGAGGAGATGGGCTCCAAGTTGGTTCAAACATCTGCTGACGCCCTGGGCAAGTTCTAACCTCCTGTGTGTCTCAGTGTCCTTATCTGAGAGTGATGAGAATAATAGAACCTACAGAAATGTGCTAGTTAAACAAGAGAATAATTGTAGGGCACCTAGAACATTGCCTGACCGGTAGAAAGCACGCAGTAAATGTTCATAATTGTTGTCAGCAGTAGCGGCACCGTTAATGTGACAGTTGAAGATGTGCCACCCTTCAGCTCAGTGTGTTCATTTCCCGGAATCTATCCCAAGAAATACAACCCACAAAATTATGTGTGGAATGCTCATCTAGTATTGTTGAGAGTAACGAAAAGCAACTGGAAGCAACTTAAATTGGAATGATTAAGGCTTGGTTGAATAAATTTGGGCACAACTCTGTCAGAGAATTTAGCCTAGAAAGTTTGAGATAGAGTAAGCTGCCATTGGAAATTTCCTAAGATATTTAAATTTAAAAAATCAAGTTGCAGAATAATATGTATACACACACCTATAGTGCAGTATCGATTAGGAAAAAAAAAAATCAGTGCGTACGTGTGTCTGTGCGTGTGAAAATGCCCAAGAAAACCTCGGACAGGATAGACCCTAAATATGACACGGGGAGGGGAGTGAATTTATAATGTTCAACTTCATTATCTATCTGTATTTCTTGAACTTTTAAAATGAGCATTACTTTTTCTAATTTAAAAAAAAAGTAAGAAAAAAGAAAATATTTCTTAAAGGAGAGTTTCCATTTGTCCATACCCTCACCATACTGGATGTTATCAATCTTTAAAATTTTTTGCCTGTCTGAAAGGTGAAAAATAGCGTATCAAGTGTATCATAGTTTTATTAGTAAGATCGAATATTTAAAAAATGTTCTTAGTTATTGGTACTTCTTTTTCAGTTATTTTTTTCCTTTAAGTCATTTGACTTTGTCTTGTTGATTTGTAGGAATGCTTTAGATATTATAGATTTTCATCTGTTGTCTATTACGTGCATTGCAAATATTTTTCCTGAAGTTTCTCCCGTGGTCGTATATCATATTTTCCTTTTTAAAGTAGTAGTTAACTACTACTGTTATAGATTTTCATCTGTTGTCTATTACGTGCATTGCAAATATTTTTCCTGAAGTTTCTCCCCTGGTCGTATATCATATTTTCCTTTTTAAAGTAGTAGTTAACTACTACTACTAGTAACTAGTAGTTATTCCCAGGCATCAGCATTTGCTGAGTTCTTGCTATACCTGGCATTGGGCTCAGTACTTGGAAAGCACATCCTTGGAGTAACTATATTTTGGGGGTGGGGAGCAGGGAGGGTCCTGGGCTAGTCCACGGGTACTAACCAATTGTAACCAAAAGGAACTAAGATTAATACTAAGTACATGAGCCTGGTGCTGCACCGAGAGTGGGCAAGGGACTCTATGGTACAGAAAAAAAGAAGGAAGAAGAGAAAAATCCTTTTTTCTTTTTCCTGGGTTCAGAAGGAGAAAAAATGAGATGCCAACATTTTATGTCTTGGGCAATCAATTTTGTTATCTTATTATAGACATATTGATTAAAAAGCAATTTTCAAGACTCTTAAGACACTATGTTTGAAACTGTCCGTTCAGTTTTTTTGAAGCAACCTTTCTTCAGCTTGTGATAAGGTCCTATTTCTAAAATAAAGATGTGGCTGGTTACAATCTGGAGATGCATTTGTGATGATTTATAACCAGGCAGGCCTCCTGCTCCTGGAGTTCATCTGCCCTCCTGCAATGCTTCTTCAGGCTGTATTTCCCTTCAAATGCCTTTACACCCATGAAACTCTTATGTAGATGCCCTGATCTTTGCAAGAAATAGATGGCAGGAGGCATGCTGGGTGTTCCAGCCGGTGCCTGGCAGGGGGACAGGGCTTCCTAACTGTGGGCTCTGATTTCAATGTCTTCACAGATCGGGAAGACAGGTGCCTACCTGCAGTTCCTCAGTATCCTGTCCAGAATGCTTATTCGGCTGACAGAAGTGGATGTTTATGATGAAGAAGAGATCAATACCAGTGAGTTATCTTTTTGGTGGCACTTGGGCTCAGAGTCACCATAATCAAATGACTTTAATTGCGCCTTTCACTTTCTAGACAAAATTCTCAGACTCACGATCAGACTCAACTCGAGGGCCTTGTAGGGGTGCTTTTTATCTTTTTCTTGTAGTCATTTTTCTCAATATCAGAGTAGTTCCTCAGAGGCCTTTGTAGAGATAGAACTACTAATATAGGTTTCCTGAGAACCTTCCTTGTGTCAATCACTGTGCTAGATACTTTACATAAATTGGCACATTTAATTTTCTGTATGACATTGTGTTATTCCATGTTCCTGATAAGTGACTTGTTTAGGAGCTTAGCTGGGTGGTGACAGAGCTGGAATTGAACTAGATATGACTGTTGCTTCTAGAAAGCGGAATTAGCCATCAGTGGAGGTTTCCCACACAGGCAACTGAGCACATAGGTCAGTATCTCAGGGCAAAACAGAAATATATGAAATGTAGGAAAAATCCTGTTCTTGTTTATACAACAGAATTTACCCTGATTAAGATGAGACTTTCTTTGAATAGCCCTTTTGTGCTAATTGTAAAAATTGTCCACTTCCTCTTTATCCACTGCTAGTGGCACATACACTTGGTCTGGTAAATGCATCTGCTGCTTTGGGAGTGAAAACTTGTGTGAGGAGTCTGTTGTAGAGAGCGGCCTCCAGTTGGCCGCCCTGGCATCGCAAGAGCACGTTGTGAGATGCTCTCGACTGTGCTTAGGTTTTGGTTTATAGAAAATCTGGGACCAAGGAAGGCCATCCAGCCCTTGGTTTTCCCTTGCAGGAAAGGGGAGGCTCTTCAGCCAAGCTCTGAGTTTGTTCTGGTTTCCCCACACATCAGAACTGTGTTTCAGAGGAAACTCTGTTGAGTCTCGGTTTCCTCATTTTCTTGGATATGGCAATGATAAAGACAGGATTTGAACCCACTCTGTTAAACGTCAGAGCTCATTCTCTTAAAGACGTGTTGTCTCAGTTTTCTCTTTTGTAAAATAGGGACAATTCCTGTTTTACAGGGTGTTATGAAGATTAAATGATGTTACACACATGAAGCACCAAGTACCTCTTAAATATGCAACAAACATTCCTCTGCTTCCTTCTTATGGACATGCACTCTGCCCACATATAAGATATAGTAGGATATAGTAGGATATATATTTAATCAATAGGTTGCATAATTTGAGTTGGACCAAGTAGGTTTTTTTTAACCTTTTAGCCAACCTTTAGTAAGCATCATCGGCTGTATCAGTCATGATGTAGGATGATGCGTGGCAGACGTAAAAGTACGGTGTGGGCCACCAGAGATGCTTTCTAGAGGTGGGGTGATGGGCGCTGAGCCATGTTGGCTGGGGAGCATTTAGACGGTTAGAGGCAAGACAGGAAATGATGCCTGTTCCACGAGTGCTGGGAACCAGTGTACTTGGGAGATGCTGCTGCAGAGAAGCACAGAGCACAGGCTTAGGTTGTTGGGTCAGGACTTGGGGAGGAGTTGAAGTCAGTGTGAGCAAATCCATTCTCTCAGAAAGCAGAAGACAAGGCTGTTTCTCTAGACAGAAATGATCTAAATGTGTTTTCATGCCTCATTAGAACAATCCTGAATACAGGATATGGGTCAGGAACCTTTGAGGTGCAATGGGGTTCCCCGGTAACCTGTAGACTTAGTAATAATTCTGCTCCAAGCATCATGCTGTGTACATTTAAAATAGATCATTCTCACTTGCTATGTTATCCCACATCTCTGTTTCTACCACCTTGCAGACCTCAGAGAAGAATCGGATTGGCATTATGCCCAGCTCAGCGACCCCTGGCCGGACCTTGAGCTGTTCCAGAAGATGCCTTTTGACTACATCATTCACGACCCGAAGTATGAAGGCGCCAGCCTGATTTGTTCCTACCATCAGAGCGCGAGGAGCGAAGGTCAGCCTCTGGCTCCCTTGCTTTACCCTCTTCTGAGGCGCATAGGCCTAGCCTCTGAGGGGTGAGCTCTGTGAGTGATGACGTCTGGTGGTGGGAATGAACTAGCAACGTCTGGCACAGAACCGAGATTGCCACCTCCCAGTACAAGGAAGGGACCGTCACAGAACCCAGGGAAAGGAGCGCCGAGTGATGATGACGACCCATGTGGTGATTTGTCATGGTTACAATGTGCTGCAGGCTCGGGTTGATAGAGGACAAAAGATGTGTATGTTTACCTGTGAATTGGGAGTTGTCACAACAAAACGAGGCACAGGTCCCCCTCCCG